CCCTCCCTCAATCGGCCAGCGCATCCGACGCATCCCGCAAGGCTGACCAGAGCCAGGGGTGCCAGCCGAGCGGCCGACAAGTGCGGGCCCACACCACTGGCCTCAAGCGGAGCGGATGCCCGGCCTGCAAGGAGGCTCACTATATTGGCCACTGTCTGACCTTCCGCGGACTGACGCCTGAGAAAAGGAGGAAATTCGTCTCGGACCGCGGCCTCTGCTTCAACTGCTTGAGTGGCTCGCACTCGGCCAGGACCTGCCCGTCAAATGGGACTTGCAGAAGCTGCTCCGGGGCCCACCACACCCTCATCCACGAAGGAGCAGGCCGGCCGGCCAGACGTCCCGCCGACCGCGACGAGGACGAGGATCCCGCGCCAAAGGCCCCCCGCGTCCAGGCCGCCGTCACCCGAGCCTGTCCAGAGGTCTCGCCGAGTCGACGTTGTCGGAGTCGCCGGCCCTGCCATGGACTCGGCGAGACACCAGACGATGCTGCACCTCAGATCTCCCTCCGGCGACCGACTGATCCGCGTTGAGGCACTCGTCCTGAGAGATGTCGGGATCGTCATCCCTTCCGGAGCCATCGAGAAGCCCCGCCCGGATCCGCGGGGAGAGTTGTCCCTCGCCGACCCTCAATTCGACCGTCCGGCCGGAATTGATATCGTCATCGATGCGGATGCCAACGGCCGGATAATCCAATCGGGCGTTCGGAGCTACGGCCCGATTCTGGCCCAGAACACTGTGTTCGGCTGGACGCTCACCGGGCGCGTGGCCGCCGCTCGACAGGCCGACCAGGGCGTTGCCCTGTCTTGCGCCACCCTGTCCATCCCGGGCCCATCGACCGGCCACGAGCGCCTCCTCGGCCTCGTCCAGAAATTTTGGTCTCTGGAGGAGGTACCCCAGATGAAAAGGATCTCTGCCGCCGACGTCGAGTGTGAGGCAGCGTTCGCTCGAGGATGCAGCCGAGACCCCACAGGGCGCTACACCGTGGTCCTCCCGCTACGACCGGAACGCGTCGCTCTCCTCGGGGAGAGCCTGAGCCAGGCTCGTTCCGCCCTCGCCTCGATGCACCGCCGGATGCAGCGGGACCAGGAACTGTCGGCCCGCTACCACGAGTTCATGGCCGATTATGGGAACCTCGGGCACATGCGGCGTCTCACTGCCGAGGAGCTCACCGCACATCAGGGACCGGCCGTCTACATCCCGCATCACGGAATCTGGCAAGATCATAATCAAGGACGGAAACTGCGCGTCGTATTCAACGCCTCGAGACCCACATCCTCCGCATACAGCCTGAACGACGCGCTGCACGCCGGGCTGAAGCTACAAGGGCACGTGACTACCGTGCTCACTAGGTGGAGGCTGCACCGTTACGCCTTTTGCGCGGACATCCAGATGATGTTCCGCCAGATCCGCGTGAGGCCAGAGGACGTCCACCTCCAGAGAGTGCTGTGGAGCCAGGACGCAGACTACCCCGCCCACCACTACGCGCTGCAAACCGTCACTTACGGCGAGACCTGCGCACCTTACCTGGCCCTCCGGACCATCAGAAAGCTCTGCGCCGACGAGGGCGCCCGCTTCCCACTCGCCCGAGAGGCCGCTGAGAACGACCTCTACATGAACGACTTCCTCAGCGGCGGCCACAGTTTGGAGACAACCCGACGCCTCAGGGACCAGCTAATCGCGCTCCTCACGGCGGGCGGCTTCCACCTGCGGAAGTGGGTGGCCAGCGACCCCGCCTTGCTTGAGGACATCGCCGTGGACGATCGCCTTCGACCCAGCTGGGTCCATCTCTCGGCGGACGGACCAGTCACCGAGCTCGGAGTAGGCTGGAGCCCGACCACCGACCGATTCCGGTTCAAGCCTCCCGTCTCGCCTCATCCTGGGCTTCAGCTGACTAAGCGCAAGGCCCTCGCCGAGCTCTCCAGTATCTTCGATCCGGCGGGATGGCTGGCGCCAATCACCCTCGTGGCTAAGATGATCGTGCAGGATCTGTGGAGAGCAAAGCTGATCTGGGACGAGATCCTCTCACAGGCGTGGCAGGACAAGTGGTCCGCATTCCGCTCCACGATCCTCGCGGCCACCGAGATCGACATCTCCCGATGGATCGGGCTCGCACCCGACATGAACCTCCAGCTCCACGCGTTCGCCGACGCCAGCCGCCGCGCCCTAGCCGCCGCAGTCTACTCGCGGGTCACCGACAAGGACGGAAGCGTCACCACCGCCCTACTCAACGCTCGGACAAAGCTCTCCTCCATCAAGAGCCTCCAGCCAGCGTCAACCGGTCGCCTGCGCATGACAATCCCGCGACTGGAACTGCGCGCGGCTCTCATCGCTTCGCAGCTTCTCACCACCACCGCCTCCGCCCTCAAGGTCCCGATCTCGGCCTGCCACCTTTGGAGCGACTCTCGCGTCGCATTGCATTGGCTGCAGTCCGACGAACCGGTGGGGAACGACCTCGTCGACAACTACATCGCCCACGTCCAGAAATTGATTGCCGGAGCAACCCTTCACCACGTGCCCACCATCGACAATCCCGCGGACATCGCCTCTAAGGGGGGTCTGTTCGGACGCCCTCAAGGACCACCGCCTCTGGTGGACCGGGTCGAAGTGGCTGTCCAGCCCCGAATCCGCCTGGCCCCAGACCGCCCTCGCCGACGATCCACCGTGTACAGGCCCGGGCGACACCACCACGGCCTGCCTGGTCTCGCTCGCTCGTCGCCGAAGCCCTGCCGCCACGGAGGACTAAGCCCGGAACCACCTCGAAAATTTCTCCACGCTGGGGAGTCTCCTCGGCGGCACCGTGAGGGCCCACCGGCTGCTGACCGGGTCAACGCCCAACTCGCCCAGACCTTTGGAGCCCGTCCGAGCTGCTGACTTCCGCTGGGCCTTTCTCACCTGCGCCCGCCTCTCGCAACGTCAAACCTTCGCGGATGAGATCAAGCTCCTCCAAGGACCAGCGCCCCGGCTCCAGGCCTCACTCAGAGCGCTGGAACCCTTCCTAGACGAAGACGGACTCCTGAGAGTGGGCGGACGCCTCTTCCAATCTCCACTGCCCTACGACGAACGCCACCCCGTCCTCCTGGACGGACGCTCGCACCTGGCAGAGCTCGTCCTCCGATGGGCCCACGCTCGCAGCCTGCATGGAGGCTTTCGCTCTACCTACGCGAGAGTCCTGCAGAAGGCGTGGATCACCGGCGGCAAGTCGCGCGTCAAGCGCCACCTTCGCCAGTGCCTGATCTGCGCCCGGATCTCCGCAAGGACCGCCGCCCAAGGGATGGCCCCCCTCCCCGCGGTCAGGGTGACCCCCTCGCGGCCCTTCAGTCACTGCGGCGTGGACTATGCCGGCCCATTTCCACTCTGCCGAAGCCGCGGACGGGGACTCCCTACCATCAAGGAATACGTGGCACTTTTCGTGTGCATGAGCACGAAAGCGATCCACCTGGAGTTCGTCGGTGACCTGACGACGGCCAGCTTCCTCGGAGCCCTCACCCTATTCATCGGGAGGAGAGGACGCCCAAACGAGATCTGGAGCGACAATGGCACCAACTTCCGCGGTGCCAGCCTAGAGCTTCGACGACTGCTGCAGGAGGCCGAAATCGACTGGGGGCTGGTCGAAGGGACGCTAGCACAGGACGGCGTCTGGTGGAGGTTCATCCCCCGCGCTGCCCCTCACTTCGGCGGACTCTGGGAGGCCGGCGTGAAGAGCATGAAGGTCCACCTTCACCGCATTGCCGCCCCCAGAAGGGTCACCTACGAGGAGTTTACCACGCTCCTCGTCTCCATCGAGGCCACCCTGAACAGTCGACCGCTCGCGCCGCCCACCGGAGACCTCGACGATCTGGACACCCTGACACCGAGCCACTTTCTCCTCGGAACCTCTGCCACCTCAATTCCGCAGCCGCTCCCCGCAACCACCAACCTGGAGAGCACACAGCACTGGGAGCTCGTCCGAGCCATGCGCGGGCTGTTCTGGGACCGCTGGGGCCGCGAGTACCTGAATACCCTGCGCCAGCGCCCCAAGTGGAGGATCATTCGCCCTAACCTCCAGGTCGACGACCTTGTGGTCATAACCGACCCTACTCTTCTGCGCCCAGATGGGCGATGGCCTCTTGGCCGTATAGTCGCCACCCACCCAGGACCGGATGGCCTCGTCCGCTCCGCCAAGATCCGGACCGCCGCCGGGGAGTATGTCCGGTCAGTCGTCAAGCTGGCGCCCCTGCCAGCCCTCGGTCTCATCGAGAAGCCACCCTAGGGCGCACGACGACTACAACACCAGCGAGTCGTTCTCGGAACGAGGCGGGCGGGATGTTTGGTCGAGTTGCCCGGCCTTGCTCGGCTCGAGTCCAGGCTCCCCCTTTCCTCTATCCCCCGACGAGAGGACAACGACGCAGGCCCTGAAGTGGGGGCAAGACTGAAGCCCCTTCCCCGAATGACGTCACCGCCGTTGCTAAGCTCTGTTTGCTTGGAGCTTTCGGCCAGCATTGACCTGCGTTCTCCACCGCCAGAATCATCATTCAACGCGACTTTGTAACCTTGCGTGTTTTGTTACCACAAGTAGTGACCAATAAAGCAACTAAGTTAAAAGATCTTGTATCGGCGTCACCTCATTCCCGACGGGATTACCGCCTCGCCCCCCGCGCCAGCGCCTCAACAAAAGAACTCTGCTAATCTAGTGTTCATTTTTAGTAATATTTTGGAACAAAATTTTAAAAATATTGTAACTTAGGCACGTTTGGAACAAGTCTAAAAAATTTTGCTTAGTGGCAAACTTACTTTTTTAATATGTAGAATACAATCACATGTAACGTTTAATTTATGTTTCTTATTCTAGTAAGAAAATCAAGTTGCGTAAATAATGACCCGAGGAGTAATTGCGGGAAAAATTAGCAATTCGGCAACTTTTGTATATTTTAATATTGGTATAAGCTATTGTATTAATAATTTTATAATTTAAAAATACTTCTATTTACATTTATAAAAATTTTTATTTATTCAATTTACAGGTAAAACAGTTCCTAAATAGATTTCCTACTATACCGGATATTTTGGAACTGGACCATCTTACAGTCTCCGGTGATGTGACATTTGGTAAGAAAGTTACATTGAAAGGAACTGTAATTATTATTGCAAATCAAGGTGAAAGGATAGATCTTCCCTCTGGAACAATCTTGGAAAATAAAATAGTCTCCGGTAATTTGCGAATCTTAGACCATTAATCACTTTTAAATATTTTTTATTAGAGACGTATTGTATTAGTGATGAGTTTTAGCCCAAATTTGAACATAATATTTTAATTTCAATTTTGTAAATTTTGAAGCTATAATACACTTCTTTAATAAAGTATGTAATTTATAAATAAGGTATTGAAACTTTATATTTTATTTTTCAAATTAACCATTATTTACAATTTATAAAAATTTATAAAAATAAATTATGAATCAATTTCTAAACTCTTAAATATTACTATATCATATATGTAACTATTTGAATAACTTTGTTCAATGTTAATGAATCTTGATGATTTTTAATAAACTACAGTTATACGAGGTGTGATCAAAAAGTAAGGTTAATTTTTATTTTTCTCAAAAAGTATTTATTTATTCATCAATTTTTATTTTATCTCCTTCAAAGTAATTCCCCTCGGATATAATGCACTTGTGCCAACGCTTTTTCCAATCCTCAAAGCATTTCAAAAAATCATTTTTTGTGATCTTGTTTAGTTCATCCTTCGATGCCGTCTTTATCTCCTCAATCGTGGCAAAACGCCGTCCTTTCATGGGCCTCTTCAGTTTTGGGAACAAGAAGAAGTCACAGGGGGCCAGATCTGGGGAATACGGTGCCTGTGGCATCGTTACTGTGTTGGTTTTAGCCAAAAATTCGCGCACAAGCAACGATGTGTGAGCAGGGGCGTTATCATGGTGCAAAAGCCAATTTTTATTTTTCCACAAATTCGGACGTTTCTGGCGGATTGCTTCGCGCAAATTGCGCATAACTTGCAGGTAATATTCCTTATTTACTGTTCTACCCTGTGGCAAGAACTCATGATGCACCACGCCCCTGCAGTCAAAGAAAACTGTAAGCAAAACCTTTACATTTGATCGAACTTGGCGTGCTTTTTTTGGTCTTGGTGATCCAGAATGCCTCCACTGGGACGATTGAGTCTTAGTCTCGACGTCATAACCGTATACCCATGTTTCGTCACCTGTTATAACCCTGTTGAGTAAATCTGGATCATCGTTGACGTCATTCAGTAGCTCTTGGGCGATGCTCATGCGACGTTTCTTTTGGTCGAAATTGAGCAATTTCGGAACAAACTTCGCTGACACACGTCTCATGTCTAAAACACTCGTCAAAATTGATTGGCACGAACCAAATGAGATGCCAATATCATCAGCAATTTCTCTAATGGTAATTCGACGATTTCCCAACACTATTTTCTTCACTTCTTCAACATTCTCATCAGTTGTTGATGTGCTGGGGCGTCCAGAACGAGGTTCGTCGTCGGTGTCTTCTCGGCCTTCTTGGAAGTGTTTATACCACTTGTAAACATTTTTTTGGCTTAAAGTAGACTCACCGTATGCTACTTTCAGCATTTCAAGTGTTTTGGAACATTTGATTCCATTTTTCACACAAAATTTAATGAAAACTCTTTGATCCATGTTTTTAGACAGTAGCAAATCGTGGAGCACGCAAAACACTTCTAACCTTGATGCCTCTCACAAACAAACCAAACATACTACAAAGCTGAAATTTGGAACGTATGTTCTAGACGAGTGTACCGACATAACCAAATAAAAAAGTCGAAGATCGAACGGACGTAGCCCGCTAAATTTCAAAATTCACCTTACTTTTTGATCACACCTCGTATGTATAAGTTTTTGACCACCCTATATTGAAATTATCGAAAATTAAAATTTTTGTAACTATTTCGGAAATAGTCGTAGGTGAATCCACGGGGGCTTATTTTAAAAGACAAAATAATACCTTTCATACTCTGCTAGTTTATTTTAAACGATTGAAAATAGCGTTTTTTACACTAAAAAAACTGGATCACATTTTTTTCAAACCGCAAAAAACACTTTATAACTTTTAAAGGAGTCAGCAGATTTTTGAAAAATAATATGGAATGGATACGTCTTTGCTTCCTCTTTAAAATGAGTGTAACAAAATTCCTTTTTATCGAGCCGAACTAATATTACGCTGATTTTATTTTTTAAATCACTCTTTTTTCAAGTTCGTCTATCTTCGAATGTGTACACCGTAGAAAAAAACTTCTTAGAGAAAAAGTGTTTATTTTTTGAAGCAAAAAAACTATCTATTATTAAAATTCCATTTTGAAAGAAACAAGATTTTTTTCATTTTTTTTATCAAGTCATGACTTGAATTTTACGATAAAAAATGTTTTTCACTGTAAAAAATGCTATTTCCTATTCTTTAAAAAAAATCCAGCAAAATATGAAAGTATTGTTTTACCCTTTAAATTGAACCTCCGCGGGTTAACCTACGACTATTTTCTAGCGAGCTACAAAACTTTGAATTTTTGATAATTTTAGTATAGCCTGGCCAAAAACTTATACAAGGTGTCCAAAAAGTAACGATACACCTGAGAAATTTTCTAAGCCGTTTATTTTTTTAACCGGGTGAAGGTTGTTCTTGAAGTAACTTTTTACGAGGAATCCGACTATTTCTCTAATTGCTGGAACTATTTGATTACGAAGCATCTCTTCATAATTTTGAGCGTTTAAGTTACCATAAATAAAGAATGGCCCTATGATTCGATTATTCACTATTCCAGCCCAAACATTCAACTTCTGCGGATATTGCGATTTATCTTCTCGCATTCAGTGTGGACTTTCCGCAGCCCAGTACCTGCAATTATGTCGATTTAATGTTCCGTCAAGTTGAAAAGTTGTTTCATCAGAGAAAACTATGTTTGATAGAAGATTTGGATTTTCAATTATGCGTGCCATCATATCTTCACAAAACTCAACACGACGATCGAAATCGTCTTCATTCAACTTGTGAACCAGGTGTACTTTAAACGGATGGAATTTTGCTGTTTTTAAAATGATATGTACGGACGATGTACTTATGTCATGCTCTTGAGCAACTCTGCGGATGGAATTATGTGGATTTTCAGTGAATGATAATAGAACATTTAATAAATTCTCTTCATTTGTTGCTGAGCGTGGTCTGCCTGACTTAGGTAGATTTCTGACATGGCCAAAATTTACAAACCTTGAAATAGTATTCTGAACAGTAGACACAGCAATTGGAGTTCTATTAACCCGAAATGTCTCATTAAAAAGATTTCTCACTGCCCTGCAAGATCTTTCTACTCCACTCCAGCCTCTCATCATAAGAAGTAATATTCTTTCTCATTCAGTGAGGCGTTCCATTTTAAGTCAGCGAATCGAAATTTACTCAAAAATCAATCAGAATTAAAAACAAAAAGTTTGCAACCCAAATAAATGTTTTCAAAAAATGAAAATTATAATTTGAGTACTTTTACAAAAAAGTTCTACTACAGTCCGACTAATGCACTAATGCTTTATGGAGATTTTCGAATGGTAAAATATTTTCAAATATGTTGCTTTTTTAAATATAATTTTTGAAAATGCAATTATCCCGAAGAATAAGCTCAAAACGATAAAGTTAGGAATAGTACTATTCCTAAGGATAGAACCAAGTGAAATTGTTAGTGGATTTTCAATGATTAGGTATGGAATAGTAACCTTAAAAAGTTTAACCGGCTAATCAAGTGATTAAGAAAATAAGCGTAAAAAATCATTGTTGATAGGCGAGGGGAAAACTCACGAAAATCAAGCACCCCGATCGTGAGAGGCGAGGGGAACTCACGAAAATAAAGCACCCCAAGGGGACAGATTTTACTACGTCCACGTCGTTGTTCCTGGGTAACGCTAAAAGTAAAAAAAATTGATCTTGAAAAAACCTTGATAATGAGGTTGAAGGTTAAATTCAAGGTCACGGATCTCCGATGGGCAATTACTAAATAAATACCCTTCTCCATTATGAAAAAAACTTTAAAAAATTTTAGGGCGTCTTTAAGTTTGGATGACCTTCGACTGACCTTAAACTTTAAGTTCGCTCTTGACTTATGATCTAAGTAGATATTTGGATGTGGAATTTTCCACTCTTTCGATTGCCGCTGTCGAAAATGGGGGTTTCCATGACCTTTATTTGCTTCCTTGTACCACTAAAATCCCGGTACTATTACAAAGCCACAGTTCGACCTTCATCTGACCCCTAGAGGTCACATTAACCTCAAACCTCAACTCATCCATACGTGAGAGTCTTCACTTTTTTCGATTCCGCCATAAAAAATAGGGGTACCCATTAAAAAAAATGAGGTTGACCTCAAAATAACCTTGAAAATGAGGTTCAAGGACAAATTAAAGAGCACCGTTGAAAGTTATCTGGGGTTATCCTTTTGTTTGTTTTGTTTAACCACTGAATTCGCGAGATTTTTAAGAATTCATACTTTGACCTCCAGTTGACCTCTAGGGGTTACCTCAACCTCATACCTCAATACATATCTGGACGTAAAATTTTCCGCTCTTTCCGATTCCGCCATAAAAAATAGGGGTTTCCATTTTAAAAAAATGAGTTTGACCTCAAAATAACCTTGAAAATGAGGTTCAAGGTCAAATCCAAGGTTACCATCGGATTCCTCGTAAAAAGTTACTTCAAGAACAACCTTCACCCGGTTAAAAAAATAACCGGTTTAGAAAATTTCTCAGGTGTATCGTTACTTTTTGGACACCCTGTATAGACATTTGTATAAACAAATTTCGTTTAAAGACATTTTTGGGGTCATTGAAATCGAAAGTAATACCAGAATTTCGTAATTGTAACAGAATATCGTCTTTCAAGTAATAATGAAAATAGTTACAAAGTATTCATAGTTACCTCTATTTGAGAGGTTTATTGAAGTTACGCTATCATAATTTTTAATAATATTATGCATTACTTATAAGAGACATTTTAATAAAGTTCTTTAAAATAAAACAACGTAGATATTGTTATTTTTTCCTAAGTGCCAAATACGTATATATACGAGGTGTGTTAAAAAAGTAAGATGAATTTTTAAATTGGGCGAGCTACGTAGATTCAATCATCGATATTTTTCTTTTATAGTGTTGGTATATATGTCCCTCACATATGCTCATAGTTTCATCCAGTTTGTATGTTTACTTTTTTTTTGCGAGACAGAAGCGTTAGACGTGTTTTATAAACGTAACATACTGTCTTGATTCCCTTATGATTATTTAAATGATCAATTTTGTAATGTTGGAAAGAAGGGAAATAGTGATAGATGGAAAATCACTTAATTT